TTGATGTTAGGAAAGTGTGACGGCAAGAGGAGAAGGGGACGACAGAGGATGAGATGGCAGGACAGTGTCATCGAAGCAACCAACATGAAATTGACAGAACTGTGGGAGGCAGTGGAAGATAGGAGGGCCTGGCGTGCTCTGGTCCATGGGGTCATGAAGAGTCGGACACGACTAAATGACAACGACGACAAGAAAATGGCAATTAAGTACATTAAAACAAGAACATATTGCCAGATCTTTGGCTAAGAAAGAATTCAAGAAGGAAAAACATTGAACTTTATATAGATACCCTGTTTCCCCATAAATAAGCCCTACCCTGAAAATAAGCCCTAGTATGAATTTTCAGGATGCTTGTAATATAAGCCCTCCCCCAAAATAAGCCCCACTTACGTGAAACCCTGCCCTCCACCACTGTGCAGCATTGTGCAGCAACCAGAAGAAGATTACATAACTGTATTTGAATCAATGTAGATTGTTGTACATTAAAAAATTAAAACACCCCCTGAAAATAAGCCCTAATGTGTTTTTGGAGCATAAATTAATATAAGACCCTGTCTTATTTTCAGGGAAACACGGTAGTAGAAATCTGATCACATTTGGTATAGCCTTATGGGGGACTTGAGTTCTCTTCTTGAACTGATTCTTGATGCTGGGCAAGTTATTTGTGTACAGTAATTGCATTTTATTTATCTAGTTCACTCTGAGATGAGAAATCACATTCCTACATAATGCCTCTAGGCTGCATTTATCACAGAATATTATAAATATTCCTTCGTTTTTGAGTGAACAGGATACTTAGAAAATCTGAAGAGTAAAATATTGAATGCTTCTGTAAGAAAACTGATCAATGCCAATTTTTTTCAAGTAATAATGAATGCTACATTTTAATTTATAGTGCCCTTATTTAGTTTTGCTATTCTTCTTCCAATCAGTATGTGAATGAAGAGTAACATTGGTCTTTATATTACTCTTGACTTCTGCTGGAGAAGTCATATAAAATGTGAATGGAGTGGAAAGCTTTAAGACCAGAACAACCTGGTAGAAAAACAATTCAAAAAGAAATTGCAAAAGTCTCTAAATGACCTGCTCCAGAAGGATAAGATCAATGTTTCTAAAGTACATAATGAATCTTAATCAATTATGATTATTACTGGATTTGTCATATCAGAATTTATCACTTCTACATTTGCTTTTGGAGGAAGCTCAGTTTGTTTTGGTTTGTGTAAATGTGGGAAATAATTCTTTTTATTTCCCAGTTGCCCAAGCTGAATGCCAATGCCTGTTTAGTAAAATGGCACTTCTGACATACCAGAAGGGAATTACAAGCAGTAGAATTAAACAAATGAATAAAAAGGACTAAAAAGGATCCAGGGAGGAGGAAAATGAACTCCATATGTGTGTTTAAACAAGTTCTGTCTTGGCAATGTGAAAGGAAAGAATGAGCAAGATGTGCAGTTATAAATATCACCTTGCTTGATACTCCCCAGTTCTCACAAGAAATCCATCCTCGTTTCTTCCTCACTTCACTGCCATTCATACTATGTCTGTGTGTGTGTGTGTGTGTGTGTGTGAGAGAGAGAGAGAGAGAGAGACGCTATTCGCAAAAGTGGCCAGAAACATTCGGGCTAATTTTCTGAAAGCCATTGCGATCAATTGTGTGGGAGACTCTCAGATATGAGGGGTCTCTTATTATTTTATATGTCTGTGGTTTTATCATGATTTTAATTGACCATATCTGTAATTTAAACAACTGGAACTGGAGAGAGAGAGAGAGAGATCTCACAAACAGGAGAGCAGAATGTGGCCCTGTGATATCCTATGGCAGAGATGGACAGCTTCTAAGGATTTAGGAGTCATTCTCCTTAGAGGGCGTTAAACCCCCCCCCATATAAAGAAAGAAAATTGCCTCTCCCCATAATGAATAGTTCTACCAAATCCTCTGGAGGGACCAGTTTGCCATTTTCATGTTAAACCTATCTTCCCTGCTTGTTCCTTGGCCTGAAAGGGTGTTTCTTCAAAACGGGTATGATCAGCTCCACAACCTTGACTAATTCCCTGGCAGCTAGTTTACCCCAGAAACTGCTCATCTCCACTCCCCATAGAAGTGACTGGCCGGTCATATCTGCTTTGAAAAAAGGCCATTCCCTGAAAATCTCTTGGAACTGTTTTAGACCAAAAACAGCTTCCCCCAACCTCTGGGGATTTACATGTGGGTTGTGTTAATTATGAACGGAAGAAATCCATAATTTTGTTTCCCCTGTGTAGAAATATATTTTAAAGGACAGTAGTATAGAAAATTAGAGAAAGTTCGTTTTATTCCAAATTCTGTACTGCCTTTGGCGAATAAAGAATTTTGGAGAACTCAAAAGCTTGTCTTATTTGTAAATTTTTAGTGATCCAATAAAAGTGTTGCCTGACCCTGGAGTTTGTCCAGTAAATTGGATGAAAATGAACAGTATTGTTGTTATGGATTTATGCATATAATTTAATAAATATTCAAGTATGTCTATAGATTCACATATCTATGCTAAGTAAATTAGAAGATAAAATGTTTGCTCATCATATTTAAGAAGCATTTTAATGTAAAATCAATGTATTTTTTAAATGAAAATAATTGTTTCCTTTAAGTGAATAGTCTTTTTTGAAATTCCCTGAAATACAGCACTGGGTAGTTCGCTGAAATAACTTTTATTCTGCAGTATCTTTTCAGTTCATCAGTATCTTCCTCCTCCTCTTCATTTCTGCATAGAAGAGTTACTGTCTTTGATTTGTATCCATATAGTTTCTGGTTAGTATATATAAAAGTTAGTAGAAACAAGCCTCAAGTGTCGTGGGACAAAAAAAATCCTACAGTAATTCAGTCATAGAAGAAACAGTGATACACTCTTGAGAAAATTAAGCACTCTAAATTTCAGGAGAGAATTAAGCACGGTGATTTCTCCACATAAACCTCCTGTCTCCCCACCAAAAGCTATTTTTACGGCAAGGGACCTCCTTTAGAATGTACAGTGGTGCCTTGCATTACGATCGCTTTGTTTAACGACGAAATCGCATTACGATGAACTTTTTGCGATCACTTTTGCAATCGCAAAACGATGTTTCCTATGGGGGAATTTCGCTTTGTGATGATCGGTTCCCTGCTTCGGGAACTGATTCTTCGCAAAACGACGATTTTCCAACAGCTGATCGGCAGTTTCAAAATGGCCACCGGGTAAATAAAATGGCTCCCCGCTGTGTTTAGGGACGGATTCCTCGCAAGACAGGCAGCGAAAATGGCCGCCCTATGGAGGATCTTCGCTGGACAGTAAGTTTTAAGCCTATCGGAAAGCATTAAACAAGTTTTAATGCGTTTCTATGGGCTTTTTAATTTCGATTTACGATGTTTTCGTTCTACAGCGATTTTGCTGGAACGAATTAACATCGTAATGCGAGGCACCACTGTATATGATGTGGCAGAAGGAAGTACAGCTAAAAGGGAGGGCTACCATTCCTTTGTGCTTCTGAGAAACTATTTTAAGCAACTTAATGGATAATTACCTACAATTGCTTTCCTTTTTTTTGTCTCATATATTGCATCCTCTTGCAGAACAAATTTTACTCCACTTACTCACTTTCTTTGGTTACTAATCTTTAGATATGAGATGACTACAGATTTTGTATCTTTGTTCATGGATATGAGTAAATATTACCATAAAGTGGGTGCATTTTGTTACTTGCTAAATTTAAGTCAGAGAATAACTAAAATAATAAGAATGGCTCTTTCATTTTATTTATTCATGCTAATTTGCACTTGCTTGTATTTGGAGATTTAAGGCAATAAAGTAAAATGTGGTAGGCTAATCTGTAACATGTTCCAAAAGCATGCATTTTGAACAGCAGGCACTAGAGTCTGAAGGAATAACTGATAGACAGTATTTAATAAATATAAGTATCTTGATTAAATGTAAGAGTATGTCATTGTGTGCACTTCAGGTAATTGCTACACTCTGATGCTTATAAAACTGGCAGTTGGTAACTTGTAGATGTGTTAGTAAGTGTGTTTTATTTTTCATACTCTATTGTTTACATTTTAAGAAAAAGCTTTAGAATGTTTAATTCTTTTAAATGGCAACTTTAAACTGCTAATAAATACAGCATCATGTTTACCTTTTTAATATATGGTTTTAAACCTTTAGGACACTTCTGTATTTCTGAAATGAAATAATGTGCTTGGAGGACAGTTAGTTGTTTGTGGTCTAACTGTTTCTCTCAACTTCCTCTTTTCCAATTCAATACTGTTAGACTTACACAAGCACTACCAACAACTCTGTTACTGGCTCCTTGAAGAGGCTGGAAGATACCACAGCTCGCTTTACAAATGCAAATTTCCAGGAAGTCTCTGCACATGTTTCAGGCGGCAATGATGTTTCAGAGGCCAGAGGTTCAGAGAGCAAGGGAAAGAAGTTGGTGGGTCATAATTCAGGTCAAAGGGGAAGAAAGCCTGGTTCTGGAAGGACTCCTGGAGCTATAGTGCCAGCAGCTTGTACTTTTCAACAAGGTACTTTTCAAGAATGCTATGTTACTTCCATGATTGCAACAGTTAAATTGTTTAAGCTTTGCAAATTTAGGTACAATGTGCTTTTCATGTTTTAATTTGAATACCACATTGGATTGTAAGTTAATGTAGCTTAGAAAAATGATTTTGGAGCCAGTGGTAGAATGAGGAAACAAATGTCTGTTTCCTTGATAAATAAAAATCTGCGAAATTGTGATGGTGTCTGCTGGAAGATTGTGGGTTTTCCCCCCTGCCTTTGAGGAATCTTTTTATAATACACAAGCATTTGAAACTGTGACTGTGACTCCTCAACCTTCATATGATTTTCAGTCTTCTTATGAACATTAAATGAATTATTGTATCTTTTTTGTCTATTATAGTTTTCTTTCTTATTTGGATCAAACTGCTAATTTCACCTCATCTGAAACCTTTCTTTCCTTCTTGTGTACTGTGTTATGTGCCATCAGGTCCCATCCAATGTATAGCTATTTTAAGACGGTTTTCAGCATATGTGAAATACTTGAGAGGTTCTACCAGTGCCATCCTACTGTGAACTTCCTTGGATTCCATTTAATTCCAAGTTTCCACAGTCCTTATGTGTTGTTCTATCCTCTGTAACATACTGGCTCTCATGTGTACTGATAGATAGACTCTTCTATTTCTAACTAAGATTAGTACTAAAGCAGCCTAATAAATAAAGTGCCCAGAGTTACTGTATTTGCTAGATTTCAGAGGAGGGACAGAGAAGTGTGTTTCAGTGCTGGCTGGGTCTTCCCATCTGCTAGTAGCCCAGTTGATTTCTATATTAATCATACAAGAAGGACAGAGCACACCATTCCTCCTCTGACAGTCTGTGTACTTATTTGTGTGGTGTTCAGGCAGAGGGCTGTAACCTCCAAACCATCTTTTAAAAACTATTTCAAGCAATTGCTTGGAAGGTGCTACTAGCTGCTCTGTGTCCAGAAATGGGATGTGAGGAACCAAGCATATTTGATAAATCCCTAAACCATGATTTGGATCACCTGAACAGAATGAAAGTCTCAGATTTATACAGAGAAATAATGTTGATATCATAGTTGGGCTTATCTGTTGTTGAACTACTAACTGATGGATCTGAGCAACTATCTACTAATGGAATCTAAAGGATTCTATTCTCATATTTCATTATTATTAAATTTTAATGCTTGGTGATAGGTTATGTATTTAGCAAATTCAGTTCCTTTTCAAAACGAGAATTCTTGAAGAACTAGAGTTTGCAGTCCATAAATATGAAAGAGCACACCTCTACCATCAGATTCTGTAATTTTATTTTAATCAACTAACCTTGCTTCCTCCTTTCTGCAGGCAGTTTTCTGGGAACTCCTGGCAGTACAAAGTCATCCTCCGGAAGTTCAGTTCAGTCTCCCCAGGACTTCTTGAGTTTTACAGACTCAGATCTACGTAATGACACCTATACTCATTCCCAGCAGACATTGTCAACCAAAGATGTACATAAAGGAGAGACTGGCAGCCAGGAAGGGGGTGTAAATTGTTTTACTTCGTTACTTGGTCTCCCTTCAACCTCAACTGTTGCTTCTCAGCCTAATATTTTTGACAGTTCACCTGGAGAGTTGGGCAGTTCAAGCCTTACATCAATAGGGTACAAGCGTGTTCAGTCTTCTGGGACAGAAGATGAAACTGTAAAGGAAAAGAAACGGAAAGGAAATAAGCAGTGTAAACATGGGCCTGGTAGGCCCAAAGGAAATAAAAGTCAGGACAATGTTTCCCACCTATCAGTTTGTTCTGCCTCCCCAACATCATCGGTAGCATCCACTGCAGGAAGTATAACAAGCTCTAATTTACAGAAGTCTCCAACATTGCTTAGGAATGGAAGTCTACAGAGTCTCAGTGTTGGTTCTTCCCCTGTTGGTTCAGGTAGGCATTTGTACTTTTGTTGTTACAGTGATACATATATTTAGTATTGTTTGAATCAGTATCAATTGGTGGAAACTTTTAGTAAAAACAATCTGATCAACATAATTATTTTTCAGCACAAGCAGAACTTAACTTATTTGACAGTAATATTCATGTTATCTTTACCTACTTTGTTTGAACTATAGTATGTTCCAAATGGAGCAACACAGAGTGGGTGAGGAGCTTTAGTGAGCTGTAAAAAAAAGCAGAGCAAGCTTTTTATTAGGATCTTTTGCAAGTTGTGATTTCATTCTATGAAAACAAATCCTGTTTTTCCTACCTCCTGTCACATGCTAGTTCAGTGAATCACTTAAAACAATAATAATTGTGTGCTATTGAATTGATTCCAACTTGTCACTTTTCTTGCAGTTTTTAAAAAGATATAAAGTACTCAGAAGTGATTTACCACTCCCTCCTTCTGGGGGTTCTGGGACTGTAGCTTGCCCAACACTACACAGGCTTATTGTCCTTTTGGAAGGCACAGTTCCAGACTGCATAATCAGGTATTCCAAGTCACTATCACTTCTGCTTTAGTGCAAACTGTGGTATCTGTTTGCCATTGAACTAGCATTGTAAATAGCTTCAAACTGTTGTTTTTAATTCTGTATAGAGATCAAGCAGAAATCAAAAGTTCACTGTTCTTTTTCGTGGCGTCTGAATGCACACATATGGGTATTGTCTGCACCTGCACTGACTCTCTCGGAAGATTCTAGAGCTAAAAGTAACAATTTTATGGTGTGCCTCCACGAGGTATATGCTCCTCCCACCCACCATCTTCCCCAGTTCCTTTTTTCCGCCGAGCTGAACGGTTCTCAGGAAAGATTGAGCGCTTCACTAGTTGCCTTTTGGCTATTTTTCTAGGCTCCTTTGAGCTTTTGTTTGTTTTAATTGCCTACTTAGTGATCCTCCACTTCTTTTGTTTGCCTAATCGGCTCCCCACGGTCTTTTTCCCCCCTTTTCCCCCCTCCCCCCCATCCCTAGTTCTTTGCTTATGGCCTCACCGTCTCCTTTTAAAAGGTGTACGACCTGTGCGAATAAAATCACACTTTCTGACAGTCACAACCAGTGCCTTTTTTGTTTGGGTGAGGAACATCCTACCCACTCGTGCCCTGCTTGTAAAAATTTAACCAAGCCGGCACTTAAACAGAGGCTCCAAAGACTTCGGTCTTACCTTTGATAAACAGCCACGAGTCCTCCTACTTTGTCTTCAGAAGCAGCTAGATCTCCTGCCCTTTCAGCCGATAGACCTTCAGTGGGCCAGTCTACCTCTGATTCTACCTCCGTGCTACCAGTTAAGGACACTGCTGAAAAAGCAAAATCGTCTGGTAAGCACAAGCTGCCCTCTTCTCAGAAGTCTCGAGCTCACGATCCCAGCTTGAAGAGAAAACCTAAACCTGCCCCTAAGAGGCCCAGAAAGGACAAACCTCACAGAGTGGAGCCCCCTCAGCCTTCTCTGCCTTCCCCTATCCTCGAGGAATTGTCCAGAGAAGCCCCTGATTTTGCCTCGGATGGATATGATGCCCATGATGTTGCGCCCCCCCCCACGATGCCGCCCCAAACCCCGAGCATTGGCCTCAATGCGGCTGCGCCACAGTCCAGCCCGGCCTCAGCCCATTCCAACCCTGACTCAGGGTGGGCAGCTGAAAGCTCGGCATCCGATCTTGAGGTTCCCCCTTCACCTCCACGGAAGAGAACAGAGAAACGAAAGCACCTCTCTCCACCGAGGTTGGTCCCGTCGCAAGGCAATTTATGCTGTTTACCAATGGTACCATATAATTTTGACCCCTTCATGTGGCAATCCTGGTACGAGAGGTTCCAGCCTGAATGGCCAAAAACTATGCCGGAACTCCCCCATGCCGTTCTCTTTGTGGACTCAAGCTGCCTCCGTGTGACTGCCTCGGCCCCGGCAGTTTCGGCTCTGCCCGTTCGCCCCCTCGTCCCATCGAAGCAGATGCGAGACAAGGTTTGCGAGGCCCTACCAATGCGTCCTGCACCCTCGATGCCGAACCCGGTAACATCTCAGGGCCCTTTCGAAGACTTGCCACCTCAAGGGCATCAAGCTCCCCCGATGGAAGGCTTTGGTTTATCGGACTACCCTTCATCTCCAGGCTCCCCTGCATCTTCGGAAGCACAACACTCTCAGTCCTCCCATGAGCCCGACCATCCCCCTCCTATCCCAGATACGAGGGGCAGCCATGCTTCATCCTCCTCAGATGACTTCTCCTCCTATTCAACCCTCATCTTTCAGAGGGCACAAGCCCTAAATCTCGACACTGAACAACCCCCGTCCGCTGATGCCGACCCGGTGTTCGATGGCATTAACCAGGAGCGTCCCGTTACTTTGAGTCTCCCCTTTAACAAGTCTATCCTTCAACTTATCAAGGACACTTGGGGAAAACCCCCTTCAATCATGCAGATCTCTCGCCGCACCGATGGCCTCTATAGGACCCATGGTGCCGATGCCGAATGCCTCAACAAACATCCAGTGCCTAATTCTAGACAAGCTCGATCACAGGCTAAGTCTAAACCTACCCTCACCAATAAGGATGGCAGGGAAGTCGACACGATGGCCAAACGAATTTCCTCTCTGCAAGCCTTCTTACTCAGAAGCATCAGTTATCAAGCAACTATGGGCGCTTTTCAGCGTCATCTTTGGAATCAAGTCCTTCCTTTCACTGAATCATCTCCTGAACCCATGAGATCCGACCTCATCAACATCCATTCACAGGCTATTTCTCTCGCCAAGTATCAGAGGATTGCGGCGCGACACTCCGCTGAGGCCGCTTCTAAAACTCTAGTCACCTCTATTTCTATTTGACGCCATGCCTGGCTTAAATCCTCCACAATCTCTGATGACACCAAGTCGAGAATTGAGGACTTGCCTTTTGACGGTGCCGGCCTGTTCAACTCCACAACTGATGACACCATGGAAGACTTCCATAAGAAGCATAAGACTGTGCGCTCTTATTCTGCCCAGCTGTCTTCTGCCTATCAACGGCCCTTCTACTGTTTGGGCCAGTATCATCCTAAAAAATATCAAAATCAAAGGTTCCAACCTTATAGACAATATCGCCCCATCAAGCTGACAGGTCCCTACCTGCCCCTCAACCTCTGATTGCATTGTACCAACCTCAAACCCTGCCTCACCAACACCAATCCTTTCGAAAAGGACAACGAAAGGGTAAGCAATATTGACAACTACCTATGCCTACCTTGTCTGATAACCCTCTCTGCCCAGTGAACTGTACCAGACTGGCCCCATTTTTCCATCGTTGGCGATCCATTACCTCAGACAAATGGGTTCTATCCATTATAGCTTCTGGCTACCTCATAGAGTTCTCCGAACTACCTCTGTTGGGGTTCATTTGATACACTCCCTACTCTTCTGCTTTGCAGGACGAGGTCACCAAACTTCTCCAAAAACATGCCATTTTTCCAGTCCCTACTTCGGACTCCCTCAACGGTTTCTACTCAAAATACTTTACTGTTCCTAAGAAAGATGGAGGCCTCTGCCCCATCCTTGATCTTACCCATCTCAACCGTTTCATATCTCCCCGCAAATTC